GGAGTTATTGCACCAGTCAGCTGCTATATTTTGATTATACGTAACGAAAAATAAGGTTATGGCTTTCAGGGCTGCGATATGCGAAATGGTTCAACAAAATACTAAGTATTCCTATCTGTAGGCCTAGAACTGTTTTTAAATATCTTTCTGTTTATTCTTAGCTGAGGATGAAACCAGACATCATAGCTTTTTAAATTTAATTACATTGGAATAGATAATTTGATACAATTGAGTTCGTTGAAAATCATAAAAAGTCTGCAGTAAAGCGTCATTGGTAACAAAATTATTGGTCTGATACTGGATTGTAATCTGTCCCGTCTCAAAATTCAAAAGATTTGATTGGTTGATTATAAATACTAATAGACATATATTATCCTAAATTGTATTCATATGAATCAAACAACCACACGTAGGAAAAATGGATAAATATTTGATCAAAAAAGACAAATTGCTTGATGGTTCCGACACTACTACGACACTGGTATCAAAACCACAGCGGGCAACACAACGAATGCAGTACCAAGATGCTCTGAAAAGACAGGAGTACCAGGTGACATTGGAAAAGAAGACGTTCCAAAGCAACCGAGAATAAAATTTTCAGCGAAGTCTGGGCGCCATTTTAGTAACAGCTGGTATGATCGATTTCCATGGCTGGAGTATTCAGTGTCAAGGGACGCCCCTTTTTGATTTCCATGTCGGGTGTTTCACAATACATCTGCGGGTGCATAAAAATTCATCACTGAAGGCTTCACAGATTGGAAGCATGCTGTAGGTGATACTGGAAAGAAGCATAACAATTGAGGTGTCAAAACAATTTCTCCAAGATAACGTTGTCAAGACAGAAAAGCAGGACTCCAATCTTGTTCTTCAAAAACTATACGAGCAGAAATTGGTTTCCCTAAATTATACGCGAAATCGAATTATTTTTGAGGATTCTAGTTGAGTCAGCCCCTTTCTCTGCAGATCCTAGTTGGGTCTGCGGATCTTAGTTGGGTCTGCGGATTCTAGTTGGGTCTGCGAATATAGTATAGGGGCTCTGCGGATTCTAGTTGAATCAGCCTCTTTTCTGGGAACAAAAGCCCCCTTGTCCCCCCGTAGAAACATCACTGATTGGTAACTAGTTGGCTTGTTATTGTTGATTCATGCAGAGAAAAAATTTGACAGATGTTTGAATATTTAATACAGACCGTTGTATAATATAAAATATAGTCTGGCTGAAATAATAACTGGCAATCTTTTTCTGTGCAGTTGACTTTGTAGGAAAAATATTTATAACGACGTGTATGAAATTGCACGTGCGTTGACCTGTTATCTGGATAAATGTACTGTAACAATATGACTTCCGGATATTTGAAATTGACATTATTAATACTGCTACTTTTTGTACTATATATGTGTATGACCACTTTTAACCTTCGTATTCGGGTAAGTTTTGGTTACATAAACTGGATTCTTTACACTGTAAGCCTTATCCGAAATGCTGACCTTCGTGAAAGAAGAATTCTTTTATATATTTTCTTCTAAATTTTAGCAACAGGATGAAAACAGAAAAGGTGTTGATTTTGATAATGAGGTTGTTCAAAATGATTTATTTCAGAAGCAGTTCGAAGGTAATCATAAATTTTATATAAAAATTCAACCAGGTGGTCATGCAGGCTATAGGCTTAGCTTGCCAACCAAACACCTTTCTTCCCATTACTCCTCTAACCATTATAGATTTTCAACCAGTTAAACATGACAGGAGAGATCACTGAAGTATGTAAATTGAAATATAAACTACAAAATACTACTACAATGATCTAGTACAAATGTAAATCGCTGAACCTTACATATCTTTGGACCCGAAGACATTCTTAGACACATATATATATACAGTTGAAAATTTCATTTTGAATAATTATGAAATGAGAGAAAAATTCAATTCAAAGCTCAATTTTGTCAGAGAGTAGGTCACTAGAGTTGCCGAAGTAAGTTTCTTGATTACCTTCTTCTGATCCGCTAGTTTACCAAAAGGTACCTTTTTTTCAGTCAAAGATGGAGAGATTATATGTAAAGGAAAGAAGAAAAGTACGCATTCTGTAAAAGATGGCATTAACCATTTTCTGAATTTGAAAGTTCCAGGCAATGTTAAAGAATTGATGTCTAAGCTGGGAATCAGCTTGGAAGGTTTTGCTAGCTTTAACTTTAAGTTACCAAAACTGCCTGTTCTTCTTATGGCAGCTTCATCCAACCATTATACAGAGCTGCAAGGACTTCTTCTTGATCTTAAACAGAAAGTTGTGCCAACCTTCCCCAATATTAAACTTGTGATTTATGATCTTGGACTAACAGATAAACAATTCAAACAGGTTAGAATTGCATTTTTTTTCTCCAGTTTTGATATGATCTGTTTCTCAACTTCATATTTATTCGGCAATTCTCGGCAGTTAATGTTTAAGCTGAATATGTTGCTAGGCGCTATACTTCCACAGAGGCTGTTTGCTTCATATTTTTTGCATGTAAGCTGATTTTTTCTTCATAGGAATACTTTATTAGCTGCTACCAATGCATAATTTGAATTTAAGGCTTTTGAAACTTTTCTTGTTCATCTGTGATGAAGTCTGGATGTGGGAAAAATTCCTTACTTATGTGGAGTTTTCAGTGACAGTACAGTGGTGTAATCTATATTCGTGCATATTAGAATTTCGTCAAAATTAAAAAACGGAGATTTTTTGTCTTACACGTTTCTTCAGATATTCTATAAAACAATTGACCGGCCATATTTCAATAGTAACCAACTCGAGAACGGCTGCAAAATGCCTCAGCTATTTTTGTGTACAATGTTTGATCTTAAGATAAGTCGAGAAAAACACGAACACGTTGTTTGGATACCCAGAGGTATAATTATAATTTCTTAATAGTCATCTTCAATAACAATTTTTCTGCTGACATCCGCTAATATGCCACGTAACATTGTTCACTGGAATATATTCTAGCACGAGGTTGCAAATATAAATTATTTATCATTTCCGGAGATACACGGAATTAGGTTCGCACGAAATAAGGTTACTTGACTCTAATTTCAGATGAAAAGAAATTCAGGCTGTGAAATACGCAAATTTCCATTCCATAAATATCCAAACCATGTAAAAAACCTGAAATCATATGCATGGAAACCTATCATTATACAGGTGACTTTATTTTACTCCAGTTACATAACATTGAGGTCAATTTCAAAATGAAATAAAATGAATGTAGTTTTACGTCCTAGTTTTTTGCAACATGTGGGCTGATGAAAAAGGGCAACGTTATGTATGGTGCAATGAAGGAAAAACAAAAATTTTCAATTCTCAAGAGCTCATCTTCTACTATTGACAGATTTGGTTATAAATATAGTGTTATATTGAAAATAATATTAAAAAAATTCTAACAATTTAACATTAAATAAATGAACAAATATATAAAGTTTGACAAAATGTTTAAAGATGTTTTAACCTATTTTGTGCATTATCAACAACAAAGGTATAAGCAGCACCTAAAGGAAGTAGCCTACTATTCATATTTCTAAAGTTACAAAGATCATTTCAAGATTATATTGTTATATATATTTTTCTTTTTAAATTTTCAGACATTGTTAAAAGAATACCATTTTGTGATGTATATGGATGCTTCAATTAGAATTATTCAAGGTGATCTATCGGAGATATTTCAATATACATTACAGAATGGGTTAATGTTAACGCCTCCTGGTGGTCCATATGAGGTGCTCAATAACACTGACATCCGCATGTTTCGCTTTCTACATTTAAACTTGTGTGAATATCAAGGCTTGATTGAAAATCAGGCTACGATGGTAATCATAGCTGACACTTGGCTCACTCATTGGGTTCTAATGAAATGGTGGATAGTGTGTGCTCTATCTGAAGACTGTATAGCACCACCAGGAACAAAACAGATGTTAATATGTCCATCCAACCCCATGAATTCCAAAATCGCTTCTTGTCATAGATTTGACCAGTCTGCTTTAAATATCCTGACTTATTCCATATTTCCTGAACCGAAAAATCTTCTACTTTCTCCAACCTACATCAGAGTTCTAAGGTAAAGGAAGTCCAAATTTGATATGCAGTGATTCTTGAGCCAAAAAAGGCTTACTTTTGTGAAAATGCTTTGCTTTTGTGAAGATGGGGTCATCTCTGAAAATGGTTTGCTTTTCTAAAAATGGGTCCCAGTTTGAAAATGAAATATTGAAATTGTTCTCTATGGTATAAATTAGGGGAAAAACTTCATTTTTTGTAAAGATGAGTAATATATTTATTGTGTAGTTTTGTTAACATAATTCAAAAACAAATAAAACATGTCTATTAAAGCCATAAACAAAATGTTGCACCAAAAAAGTCATGATGGTAATAAAGTAAGAAAACAATGTCATACAAGTAGACTAGATCAATTTGTCATGACACTTAAATAAATAGAACCAAATTATTCACTGAATTATCCAAGCTTACTTAAATGCATTGGTTTAAACAAAGGATTTGGTGATGCAGATAATCGTAGGGATGGGTTTAAAGGAATTATGTGAATTTTTAAACATCAGTGGTTTAGTTGTCAGTTGCTCAGTCTTCTAAAAAGTGTTGGCCTTATATATGTAGAACAAAAAGTTAATCGCCACTAACTTTAATTCAGTATATTCAGGGACGTCACGTATGTCTATGTCGTAGAGACCCCCCTGAGTTGGATACTTTGCATTTGGGGATATAAAGACAATATAATGTACTATCATCCACTTCCTGTTGTTGATTTTTTCACAAATACATATTGTTTTCAACATTAGGTCCCAATATATACATCTGTTATCAAGTATGATTGTGAATTGCATTCATTTGCGAAACAATGGTTAAAAATCTGGTGGTGCTTAACATTTTGTTCTAGGTATATATGACACTGCTTTGTTAAATTTAAAGCCCAAAATATGTCATGTTTTAAAGTCTTATTCCTGTTACTCAACAAAAAGATGATGATGAAATATGAAAAGGACACATATTGGTTTATTTGAGAGAAAAAATAATGGTTTTTGTAATGAATTGAACAATTGGATTTCTATAAAAATCATAAATTAATGAAGACAGAGTACCATCAATGATAAAACAGTTTTACAATATCATATTTAAAGATAGGTTCCCACAACTTACTTTCATATTAGAACATATTTAAGTGAAAATTATCCTTTAAATAGTTCTATATTTAAATATTTTATAAGCTATCTATTCTTCCAAAATGATCTGTGGCATACAAATTCCGTTGATGTATGTGTATAAAAATTCAATTACTGTATTATTTTAACCTTCTTTCATTGTGTTTTGTGGTGATTTTAATTTTGTGGGAACCCATCTAAGTTTACAAATACATATAACATTTAATATATCAGATTCTAATAGAAACCAAAATGCACACAGTAGAGAAAATTTTTCTTCAGTTATCTGCATATAAAAAAGCATTTTCTCCAAACTAAAATTAAGTTCTTATCAAAATTTATTTCGCCTTTTTTACTCATTTTCTACAGCCAACTACAAAAAATTTTTTAGATTGCAATGTCAAAATGATTTAAAAATAAACAACAAAATAAGGTTTAGATAAAAAAAAATTGCAGATCAAAACACTATATTAAGATACCAGCAGTTTTAGTACCAAATATTTCATAAATAAATGTGCTGATGAGAGTGAAAGTGTTTAACATGAATGCAAATTAATACATGTATGATCAGTCTGATTGTTGACCAAGCTTATAATCAATAAAGCATTTGATTAGTTGAGTATTGTAGTGACCTAAAGCTTGTGGTGCACCATCTTCACAATTGTCAAGGTATTATGTCTTCTTCTTCAATGGCCCAGCTTCTTGATTCACTGAAGTTTGTGCAATTTGATTGCATTGTACGCTAGTGAATACAGAAAGTGTGTAAAAATTAATTTAACATGAAATCAAGGGTTCTGATTGGCTGCATTCACTGGCGTACAATCCAATCGAATCCCTGAAACAAGAAAGTGGACCAGCAGTCAACGTATAAGATGAAAACAATACTATGACTATTGTGAAGATGGTGCACCATAGACTGAGAAACTATTTATGCCAAATTGTAAGTGACATATTATTCAAAACCTGTTATTATTCATCATATCATGATCCAAACCAAAGCTGGATAAATATAAATAAATATTTAACAGAAAAGTTCAATTTGCTATACTAAGCTACAGCAAGATACATAACTAAAAAATGTGTGTAATGATTCATTTTTGACTGGAATTCATATGATTAGATCTTTCATAATAACAATTTACATGTTAAAAGTATATGTGGTTCAGACAAAATATCTACTATTTACAATGAGGTGATAATATATAGAAAATAATGTACAATTAAGAATTTCTTCAGTTATTAACTCTTTAATTGGCAGCCTTCAATTTTAAACTCAATTTGAATCATAGATTAATAATCTAGATGTAACCATACTTTGCACTTGGATTAGTGCAAATAGATTTCTGACTGACCTTTTTGCACAATTCTTCACATTTCTTACCATTAAACTGAATATGGCATACAGTAAAATTTTGTGGTATATGTGGTTTAACAAAATAACATATCACATACCAACTTGAACTTTTAACATGACTTTTTCAACTTACAGCATTGTATAAATTTTAAATTCAGATTTCATTGATAGAGTATTTTCAATCATTGAAAGATATATTTTATAAGGGTTTATCACAGGAATGAAAGCAATCACTGCTGCTATCAGTGAGTATATTGGTTGAGAGTTCTTTATACCCTATTATTCTTCCACGAAGGACAAATATTTAACTATTGTCTTTACGTATTCCATGATTCAAAATCAAAACTTTTGAAATGGGGACCTAAGTAGATTTCTAGCAATGCAATAATGTTCATGTAGAATCTAACATCAGTAAGTTTATTTTTATTAACATTTTATTATATATGTATCGAAAAATTTCAATAAACCCTGAAAAGACACAAAGACAATATTCTCTCAGTAATTTTGATTGGTTGAGTATTTAGTTCAACAAAACAGACCCTAGGAAATGCTAGCACTTACATCGTTTCGAGAATAATCAAAAATGGTTGGTACTTTTTGTTAATGATTGTGAGGCTAAAAATTATATGTATTTCCAAAACTTTATTGCTATGCTTATAACTTATGTATCGAGAAACTTTTAATCAAGAAGTCGTGTAAAACAAAGTTGGTTGCATGCATAAAGTTATATCACCCTGTAAAGTCAATATGATTTATATACCAATAATACATATGTTTACAGCACAAAACCATCAAATTCACATTCATATCTAATGATCAAATTTTAAATCAAACCCATAAACTACCAAATATGACAAATAATGTTAAAGTGAGGTAATTTTCAGCCTAACAGTATGTAAAATTTATGAGATACAGTTATGAATAAGTACATGTTATAATATATAATTAAACTAATGTTGCTGCAGTCTGGTGGTTCGAGCCATACGGTAATTGTCAGTAGTGCCATTTAGCCAACTGTGCCTGTATATCACTTCGTAAATTTTGAGCAAAACAAATTCCTAGTATCTGTAAAAGAGAATACTTATGTGAACTTATGTAATTTTTAAGATAAATTACCAATCCAAATATGAGAGCAATTCTGGTGATACCTTGTATTTTGTGCAGATAGAAGTTCTGGCCTAGAATTATTGTGGCTGTGCTTTTTCCTTTGACTTAAATCTAGAAATATTTGTTCATCTTACCTGTAATAAAGCTATGCCTACAGCCACCCCTGCTACAGGTATTAAATTAGATTCTAGCCATTTTTCACCTGATGGTATACAACCTAATGTATAGACTTTAGTTGATCTATCATAATCCTGTAAAAAAAATGCATTTACACTTTTCAAACATATTGACTTTACTTATACATCCAAGCTGTATATTTCCCAATGAGTAATTGGGTCATATGGATCACTAACTTCAAAATATGAATTCTAGACTTTATTAATTCATAATAATGAGAAAATATCAATAGGAAAACTTACATGAGATGGTTTCATCATATCATATCCACAATGTCGATTTTTTATTAGTTCCTGTAGTATAAAATACAATGATTAACAAGGTACTATTGGAACTTAACATCTTTAAAAGGATTACAATAGAGGTTTTTTGACCTCTGAATGTATATTAGAAATGAAAATGAAATGAATGGAGTTTTACGTCCTACTTTTCTGCACCACACGGGCTAATGAAGATGGGCAACTCCATGCAGGGTGCAATGAGGAAAATTTTGCCAGGATAGTGGCATTAGCCTTTTCTTTTTCGATTTCCATCATATAGAAAATTTTTTCAAAAATTAGAATTCAGACGAAAGAACATTCTCTATATTTTCAAGTGATATAAACATCTTATTCCTACGATCATTGGTTATCAAGTTAAGACAAAATGCCGAACCATAAACATTACATGCTGTTGAAATATTATCTGGAAACTCCATCAAATATATTTAATTAAAGGTCTAAATAGTTTTTCTGACGCTGAAGATTATTTTAGCAAGTAATATAAGAGTGTATGATGCATTTTGTGTAGCCTAAAGGCTACTGAATACAGTTGGTTATAGAATATTCAAAAAAATTTTCGGTTTTACTCAGAACACGGTTTGCCAAATTGTGAACGTTATGATAGTGAATGTTAAAAAGATGACTCGTCTTTTTAACTTTCAAACATGGATAATTCTGTACACTCATGGATTTGAAGGCTCAAATTTCAAAGAAGAGCTATGAACACTATTACTTATTAGCTTAGCTAATTCCCGTTTCTGAGACTCAAAGTATGGCTAACCTGTCCCTTTAAATCAACCTATTTTGAAAATCCTTTGGAAATATGATATTCCTAAATTTCCTGCTATGTAAGCATATTTTCTTAAAAACTCATGAAGAATGGAGATAAAAGTTACAAGATAGAATGCAATAAATGTTCTTACATCTGATGGTTGACAACATGAAAAGGGAACACCACAGGCTTCAACACCAGGAGACGAACAATTAAAATACATATTTCTCTGCCAATCAGTATAGGAATAAACACCACAGCAGTGTAACTGAAACAAAAAATTAAAATAGATTAATTTATATTTGATGGAATAAAACAGACATAATTCATTTGTTCTGTGTCTTGAAGACTGTTTTTCATTGTGCTAGTTGAGGCCTGGAAATATTCCATCTATACCTATAGGAATATAAATTCTTTCTGAAAAACATATGAATTTTTTCATGTATTTTTGATTGACATAAAGCTTGTAAAGTTGAAAATAAGAATTGTAAAAAAACATTAAGGAAGCCTCAACCCATTATTCTACAAATTTGAATAATTTCACTTGCATTAATGCAAATTTTGGATTCATATAATGACAAAACCCTATTCTTGCAAAATCATTAACTCCAGATGAAAAGGCTAACTTTGTGAGAATTATTATTAAGTACCAAAACAACTCACCCAATCTCTCTGAACCCAGTCTACTAAGTTCTGTAAATCATCATCTTCTCTATAATTAACTATCATATTCTGTACTTGTCCTTCTATTTGATCTTTAACCCAATCTTTATAAACAAACCCCAATATACCCAATAATAACTCGATAAAAAATATCAAACCAACTGCTATCATAAACTGAAAATAAACAACACATTCATACCTGGTGCAAAGTCAATACAAAGGAGCCGGAAACCCCGCTATCCGTACGTATTTTACCAGGGGGAATATTTACTATGTAAAATAACTCGTTAATCCAGTGATTCTGTTTCTGTGATTGTATATTTGATAGAACTTTTCAAATCACAGTTAAGACAATATCCATGTCAGACTTAAAATATTTGCAAATTGTGTTATTGTTTTCAGTCAAACAGGTTCCGTTCAAGCTATAAAACATCACAATGTTAAAAGGTGGATGTATTTGTGCACTATAACCAGATTGTCACATTATACAAGATTTTGGTGAATTGAAACAGAATAGACAGGCATTCAAAACGATGCCAAATAAAACCCTAATATCTATTAGTATTTATTGGTTATATCCCATTAGTTAGATGACTCATTAGTTATAGATGTTTAAATTGTTAAACAGGGTTAATTAGACAAATAGGGAATAAACCTACAGGTGTAATGGATCGTCCTAATTAGATTTAGAAGATGGGAGGACACCACATCTCTACTTTTGCATATTTACATTTTCAGGAGCGAAGGCTGAAAGGAGTTTTTTTCATGGTTCCTTAGTATCAAATTTATATTTAATTGTATTGAATTTTGTAAATAAACTTACTTGTATATACATTTTATAAAAAGTGTAATTTTTAAAAATCTATGTAATTCTTCTAAAACTGCCTTTTTTGATTGACAAATCATAGGTATATTCCCTCTTTGTCTAATTAACCATGTCTAACAATATGGTTGTCTAACTAATGAGATATAATCTAATGGATAATCAAAATGTAGCATAAAACGCATAAGAGAATCAGACTCCATTTAGGTAAGATGTGGGTCCTCCCAAAAAATATCAGGTCAATAATACGATTAAAATATAAAATTATGAATGATTGAAATAATGTGTACAATGATATTTACAATAATGACTGCATTCTCAAACATAATTTGACCACAGTTGGCCAAAAAGCTTGTATAAACACTGACCACTTAAATAACATATATGTACTTTGTCTGGTCAATAAAAAAGTTATCTCAGTGAACGGACGCTGCCCAGACAATAAACAAAGGGAAGTAATCCAACATTACATGGACTCACTCTACTAAAACAAATGATTGCAAATGATTGTATTCCATATATTTTTAGAAATCTTTCTCTCTCCCTTTTGGGGTTTTTGCATGCCTTTTTTGAGTAATTTTTGGTCAAGATTTTGAAATTGCATTATCTTTAAGATTTGGTGAGATGATGAGAGACCTAAAGGCGGAAAGCTAATTCTAAAAATAGTCGTTCTGTGAACTGTCAAACTCTAGCGGATGAGTGTAACCGGTAGTAGTCTACTTTCAATTTTAGTAGCTCAAAATTTTCATGGTCATCATATATTGAATTTTTTAGGAGACATTAAAGATTGGTCAGGCTATCATTAAACATATTGGAAAGCTTTCAACAAGATTTCTGGAAAAAATTGTTAAGGATTGAATTTCATTACCACTTAGTTATGATAAATAATAACTTAGTTCCAAGTCTTGTTGAATAATTTTTTTTATTTGGTAGAAAATCATTTGATACTTTATATAGATTAGAAAAGTAAGCAGTAAGTAAATTTGTTGTTTTATCAAAATCCACAAAAAGAACAGTTTTTGACAGGATAATGGATGTATTTATGCATTTTACACAATAAATGTACTTACAAATAATAGCAGACAAGTATTTTCCCTGAGTGATCCAATACAACCAGCAAACCCAATAATAAACATCACACCTCCAGATATTATAAACACTAAGGCTGGATCTAGAGCTATATTGGTTAATTTACTGATATTACGGAACATATCTTTCTCTGTCCATGCCCATAATCCTATACCCAATAAAGCTGCACCAAGGAACTGAAATGCCGTAAAAAAGAGTAAAATGAAAATAAAATAAGTATTAATTGGCAATATTAATTTCTAAAACAATAAATTAACTAAAGTAAATGAACCTGGAGAATACATCTAACGAGATTTTTGTCTTGAAAACTGAATAAATTGTTAATTTTTTATCGATCGAGGTGGAGGGGGGAGGGGGGAGGGGGGCTTTATTGAGATGTATATTCTGGTAAATCACATTTTGTGAAGTGATTGATCGTCATTTTTTTACGTAATCTGATCCAAATCATTGTCTGAACAAAAATCTTACATAGTCTATAATAATTGGATATTATACAAAGATTTGTATTGACAATTAATTAAGTATATCAAATATCAAAATAATTTTTTGAACAGTCTTAGTAGAGAGACCAGCTTTTTTGGCACCATCAAATGATTGCAATATATTAGATTTCTGACAATTAAAATTGAAGAAAAAAAATATTCTGTTAATGGTTTAATGCTTATCATTAAAGATTGCCTATGGCATAAACAAAGCTTTATAAAAGGCATTAAACTTAAACAGAAATTCTGCTATATTTTAAGTAGTAAAAACAGTGGTTACATGGTAACAGGAAATAATTAGAACAATTATGTCTACTGCACTTAAATAACCATTTCCTTTATCTCCTCAGATTTAAAACCATATTTACACAGAGGAAATTTAAGTTTGATAATCATAATGATTCAACAAACCATTGGAGATTTTCAATATTTTGGATGTCATAGAAACAAGTAGACAAAAGCAATAGAAATATGGTATATAATAAGAAATCATTAGACTATAACAGTTGTAAAATCAATCAATACTATTCTTCAAGACTTTTAGACAAACAATGAGCCTATTTTCCCATTACTTACTAAACTTACTGGTTTTATCAATAATTTATCTTTCATCAGCATAGAAAAGTCCATTGTCAACAACTGAATGCTTAAAGTAGAACTCGGCAATCATATGACTTGAAATCATTATTGTATTTAACTATTACTAATCCGTTAATGGCATCGAGAAACCTGTCAAATACAATTCTAGCTTTATTTTGACAATTGTGAGGAATATGACCCAAAATACATATATCTTTGCCTGAAATATAAAAGCAACTAGAATTTAAGTTCTGTTTTGATATTTCTATGTTGTTCTACATTTGACGTATTGAGCACTATTTAAAAAGTGGTATTTCTAAATTGTTCTACAATTGATGTATTAAGCACTATTTAAAAAGTGGTATTTCTATGTTGCTCTACATTTGACGTATTGAGCACTATTTAAAAAGTGGTATTTCTAAATTGTTCTACAATTGATGTATTAAGCACTATTTCAACAGTGGTATTTCTATATCGCTCTTCATTTGATGTATTGAGCACTATTATAACAGTGGTATTTCTATATTGCTCTACAATTGATGTATTAAGCACTATTTCAACAGTGGTATTTCTATATCTCTCTACAATTGATGTATTGAGCACTATTTAAAAAGTGGTATTTCTATATTGCTCTACAATTGATGTATTAAGCACTATTTCAACAGTGGCATTTCTATATCTCTCTACAATTGATGTATTGAGCACTATTTAAAAAGTGGTATTTCTATATTGCTCTATAATTGATGTATTAAGCACTATTTCAAAAGTGGTATTTCTATATCTCTCTACAATTGATGTATTAAGCACTATTTTAACAGTGGTATTTCTATATTGCTCTATAATTGATGTATTAAGCACTATTTCAACAGTGGTATTTCTATATCTCTCTACAATTGATGTATTGAGCACTATTATAACAGTGGTATTTCTATATTGCTCTACAATTGAGCACTATTTTAACAGTGAGAATTTATTTTTGTATATCTTTGCCTGAATAAGTAGTGTTAATGACAGCAAATAATAATTTTCAAACCTAATACAGCTACAGTTTGACAGATATTTCCATCTCTTCATAATATTCACATGTTCAGAAATCACATGAAAATATGTCAGTTTTACCATGTTTTTGTCCAGAAAAAATAAAAGTTTCCTTTAGGTGAAAAATTAAATTTCAAACATTATTTGCCATTTAAAAATTTTCAAACATTTGCTATTGAAATTTTTCAAACACTTGCTATTGAAATTTTTTTCATTGTGTGTTTTTGATAAATTGTATATTGAAATTTTTGGATAATTGATCTTTTCCTGACAAATATTCATGGTTTTAGTTTAGGGGTATTTTGACCAATCTGTTTAATTTTCTTTTGTTGGTTTTTAGACCATTATATTATACATTATGTGTGTATTTACAAGATGTTATAGCAACAAGGAGTAGTATTATTTACTGGATTGAAGGTGTTCTACAAATGCATTAAATTATTATAATTATTATCTAAATTGTTTATTTTTCGTGTCATTAAAAGTATATTATTTCAATACAGGAGTACAAAACTAGAAATTTATAGGCTTCAACATTTTGAGTTTGTTTTTATATGCCACATGAAATGGGGGGCCTATATTGCCGTTACCCTTCTTGTCGTCCGTCCGTCCACAATTGCTCGAAAACACTCAACAAGGCACAATTCTAGACTGATTTCGACGAAACTTGGTATGGTTGTTTGTAATCATCCAAAGTTGAACCCTATTGAAAATTGAAAAATATTTACTATGAATTATTGCCCTTGTTGTTGAAACACTCGTAAACACTCTAAATGGTGCAATTCATGACGGATTTTGATGAAACTTGGTAGGAGTAATCGTAATCGCCCAAGGATAAACTCTATCAGAAATCAGAAAAATTGAAAAATATTTAGTTTGAGTTATTGCCCTTGTTCTTGAAAACGCGTTCAATTCTAGCTTGTAAACACTTTAGAAGGCACAATTCTTGATGAATTTTGACGAAACTTGTCATGAGTGTTGGTTATCACCCATTGATAAACTGTATTGAAAAAGAGAAAAATTGAAAAATATTTAGTATGAATTATTGCCCTTGTTCTTGAAAACGCGTTCAAATTTTAGCTTGTAAACACTCTAGAACAATTCTTGACGGATTTTACCGAAATGTGGCTTGAGTGTTGGTTATCACCGAAGGATGAACCATATTGAAAATCAGAAGAATTTAAAAATATTGAGTATGAGTTATTGCCCTTATTCTTGAAAACGCATTCAAATTTTAGCTTATAAACACTCTAGATGGGACAATTCTTGACGGATTTTAACGAAATTTGGCTTGAGTGTTTGTTATCACCCAAGGATAAAGCCTATTGAAAATCAGAAAAATCAAAAAATATTTAGAATGAGTTATTGCTCTTGATCTTGAAAAATCGTTCAATTTGTAGCTCATTAAAACTCTAGAAGACATGATTCTTGCCGAATTTTGAGAAAACTTGGTTTTATTATTCATTATTGCGCTGAACATTCTAGAGTTTTCAAGAGCTAAAGATTGAACACGTTTTCAAGAACTAGGGCAATAATACTACATATTATTCAGTATTGCCCTAAAGAATTCAAAAGAAGTGTATGACTGAAGGTTGAATATTTCGTACTGGTGATTGCTACTGTACTGCTAAATATTTATGTTCAAAATCAAAGCTGCCAGTGGGTGTATATTACCTTGCCAGGTTATCCTACCCCTTGAAAGTTGCCTTTCAGTTCAATCCAATTTTCAAACCAGTTTTTCATTAACTCGAACAGCTTTCAGAATAATCAGAATGCCCATTTTGGGCAGAACTCACTTATCTTTTAATCATTTATCCATGAATAAAATCTATTTGGAACTGTCTTGTACCTTTTTAATTTTAAAACTTTGCGATGTTTCAATCAAATACAACTCTTTCTCTTCAATTTTGATGACTCCAACTCAAATATTCTTGGAGATAAACTGCCTACTCCTACCAACATTTTAAGTTATTCAATTTCATTTTGACAGCAGCAAAATGTTGCAAAGGTAAATCAAAAAAAGGTTTGGTGTCAGGGACTGGGACCTATCAAAAATACCTCGGCCAACTGTAATGAATGTACAATTCTTTTTACTACATGGGATGTCATGTCCAACCAGTAGGCCTATATTAGATCTTAAAAAAAATTGATCCTGTTTGTTTAAAACTCATGAGAGATATTGACAGTGTTTACTTGATTTTTATATTTTGAATTCAACATTTCATTCAGGATTACATTTTTGATGTGCTAGTCTAACAGCCTCTACTTGTTACCTTGGCCAGTGCTTCTATAAATATAAATGAGTATCTCTCATAAAACCTTACACTGAATAATGGAGCAAAAACTATGCTATATTCTGTGAAACTGGGGGCAGACACTTGTAACATCAATAAAAATTTATTTTTTAATTCTAATTCATCTAGAGTTGGATAGTTTCTTGCACTTCTTCATAACTTTCATATATCTGTTGGAAAGTAATAATATTACTAAGGTGAAAAAGAAATCTTAATCTTATCTAGTTCCAATCTATGTAAATTAAGATTCTTAGTCTATAACTAAGATATTTAAATTCCTTCATTTTAATTTTCAGGAACCATTCACTGTCTTTTTCTACAAAACAAGGAAACAGATTAATTTCTGCTCAGTAAGATAACTGAGATCTGTCTAAAAAAAAACATAAACAAATGGTTCAAACAGGAAATGATATTTAAGTTTATCAACAATATATCTTTTTGATATCAGCTGATATTGGCATAATGTATTACAACTTACCCAAAATAGAACATTGAACCCAAACATCAAATATTTTATACAGCAGCTCACTTCAGATTTCGTTCTTCGCCTTTTTCTCTGCATCTTGATGTAGTTTGTAATAGAATAATAACCAGACTAGCTAAAGGTTACATTAAACATGTTCTTTACTACTCCTTAACACTGCTGAGATTCAATCCATTCTCATTATTCCTGAAAATGTCTCGTCTTTATCTCCTCAGACAATCCTTTTCTCCATCTTGAACTCGATTGACCCAATTTATTTTTATTATGTCAACAAATAAAAATTGTCACATTTATTTACATATTCCCAATAATATTGTTGGCTCTGTAGGCAAAGCCAAATTAAAAATCTCTTGAGGGCAAAAATCAGATTCATTCAATTTTTCCTTTTTTACTTGTTTATGTTATCTTCTGACATCACTGACGTCATTAAAATGGCTTCCGATACAAATGGAAATTCGGCTGCCGATTCCCAAAAGTCAGTTTTAGAACGTGTCAAAGCGATGAAAAAAGATGATGTCTATTTCAAGATAATTCCATCACTTTGCAGTATTAGCTATGAACTGTTTTCGTGCAATATAATGAACCCAGGAATATATACCAGGTTTGTTTACATTCGACATTGAAAGCTGGACGGGCACCTGCTTAAGGGGAAGTAACTATACAATAAAGAGAAAAATTTACTACAGACTACACTGCATTTTTGAATTAGCATTCGACTGTGATTAGTTGTTGAGTATATTCAAGCTATAAACTTAGTGGAGAAATTCAATTTTTCCCGAATTTGTGTTGATTTTCCAATTAAATACTTTTAATGATTTTTTTTCAGCTTATTTCAACATAGAGACGTTGTCATTGCTAATTGTTTTTGGTTTGAAGCTCATATTGGCATTGGCTTATATTTATATGGATCAAAACATCTCCAGAAGGCCTCTACAGTTCATAGAGTGGAGTATGCTGTGTTTGGTTCATTTTTATTCAATTTTGGCTCTGTGCTGTTTTGGGCAACTTGCAAATCATTGATGCCTAAGGATTCAGCTCTGAGAACACTATTTGGGTTAGGGTCTGGCTTGGCTTTATTGTATATCGGTAAAGAGTATGTTGATCACATTGATAGAAATATGGCCAAGTAATCAGAGTTTTCTTAGTTTCTATAGATTTCTAGTATGTCCATTAGAATGTCACAAGTGCCAATAATTTGAGTTTTTGAATGAAATTGTTAAAATATTATTTTTTGATATATAGATACCTAAAGATAAAATTGAAATGTAAAGTTATAATGTGTGCTATGTAAATATGTATTTAAATAAAATTTTGTTATAAACTAATATTAACTTTTAATTGTGAGAATAATTTCGCCAAATAACACACAGTCCAAAGAGGGAGGTTGCCCATTTTGACTATATCCCTGCTTTCCATCCCCAATAAAGAAAGCTTTGGTATTTGGCTAGTCATTTTCAGTGTAGAAGTTGAATTCTAAGGTTTCTGTGCATGAAATATAGAGGTCTCTGTACTGCAAGCTGTGTTGTTCGACAGCGCCAAAAGTTTTCATTTCAATCTCCCAAATAAAACAATACATATCACATACTAATTTTAATCTGTGTAATATAACTCTATAGAAGCAAATTACAACAAATAAGAACAGAAATTAGACTATATAATTCCATTATATAAAGTAGTGTTAAAAACTAGAGATATTAGTGCAGCAATCCTAACATTTTCTCATGTATCTCAACAGGATGATGCTTAATTTATTTTATCCATTTCAATTACCATATTGTGATTCTTTTGCTTGGTATAGAACCATAAAATAAATGGAGTATTTTAATTGCCACTTATTCCACCTTAAACTGTTCATATTTTGAATATTCCAGGTATTATCAATCTCTTTCTGAATTTTTTTTTTATAAAGTTAATTTGGAAAATCGTCTTCCAGTTGAGAAACGTGGAAAATGGCTGCCGCACCTTAATAAGCTTATATATTAATAGGGAAACATTCCAAACCTAGTCCACATTATCCCTAAAAAAAAAAACAAGATAGTATATCAATAAGGTTCATAAGTCAAGTTCCACCTGAATATTGCATTACAGTAATGATACAATAAATAATTGCTAAAAAAAACCCAGTTAAGTTGCTTTTAATATAAAAAAAAATTCTGCACAAAACACACTAAATAACAGAAACAATGATGCTAAAGGATTAATATACATTATGTGTATGTTAATGTGATAATGCTGTATCTTTCTTAATATGAAAAAATTTATGTTTCAATGGCTAGAAATCAATAAGTACTTTGACTTGAGGTCTTGCTTATTTATGTTTGTGTATCATTACTGTAATCAATTTTCAAGATGTACTTACAATAAATCTTATGACAATACCAGTACAATGTATTTTTTTTACATATATAGAATTAATCATCAAATTAAAAAATAAAATCTTTAACAACATTCCAGTGTAACATTTTCATGTTTAATTTCAAATAAATATCAGTAACAATAAAATTTCTTTATAATTTTCTTTCATAAAAAATAAATATTTTATCACCTTTCAGTTCTAGACTTCAATGGACGTTAGCAAATATGAACTGAATAATCAAAATATACCTAATATATTATAAAATGTGAGGTCCTGTCAACTGTTGAAAGAACTTATGTTTCCTTTAAAACATGCAAGACCTGAATTCATTGGACAATATCTGTAATGAATCAATTCAAGAAATGCCTTGATGAAAGTATTTGTTAAAATATATATCGTTCTATAAGTCTGAAAGCATATATTACAAACTAGCATATACAATTCTAATATAATAGAAAATATAAAGATAGCAAGCTTAACCTCAAAAAACAATAATCCATAGCTCACAAACATGTTTCATTCCAGTTTGTTACAAAATGTTAAAAGAAAGACCTATATTATGCATATTAAAACACTTACACAAAAGCTGATCAAATTAGAAATATGCTTGTGAGCTCCTTAATATCACTACACCTTTTCCATGACACCTACCTCTCCCCAATCTTCAATTCATCTAATTTGCATTAGCAGCTCATAAAGCTCAATTTAAGCTAACTGTATCTTTTGTCAGAATTAAAATTTGATGACTTGGTTTTTGTTCAATTAAACAAACTATACTGCGATAGCATAGACTGTTGTCACAACAAGCATGTTATTAATATTCTTCCTTAAAGATCATAAAACAAAGCTAACATTGAATTTCTGAAAAAAGTATGAGATACATGCTATAATACAGGGGTGTTTCATTTTAAAAATTTGGCATGATTCAATACAGCTGCAATAGTTCAAATTTACTAATTGAAACTAACCTCATGATCAGGGGTTTCAAATGTCTTTTCCAGAAAAAAAAAAAATATTTCAAAATATCAACCTTGTAAACCATTGCCATAAGTGTTTAACTTAACAGCTCAATGAAATTTCATACTCTTATCCAATCTTCAAACTGACTAAGAAACTCACAAGATTCAAATATAATGCATCATATAACTGCTTTAACTACATAAAGCAAAAGCACATAGTATAAAATTTGAAGCAGTGGCTAGACAAATCTTTAATATATAGGTTTATACATGTAAATCACTGCCTGTAGTTTAAAGGAAAATGGTATTTCTCAACATTAAGTATTTGATGTTAAACTTTTGACAATGTACACTGCCTGAATTTTGTTATATCCAACAGCAATTATTAATACCATGAATTATTCAATCCAACATTAAAAGTAGTATTGGCATAATAATGTTAAAAGACAATTGAATTTGATTTCCAAATAGAATGAAATGAAAAAGTTGATTCTTGAAAAAAACTGTATTAACTTTCATAAATGAATCAGAATATTGGAGCTTCTGTGAGTGAATAATTATATGAATCTGGGGATATTCTGAAGCAAATGCATGCAATTGAAAATTTTGTTATGGATATTAGTGGCATAAATGACAGAAAAAATTAAATTCTGAACGGTAGAAATCAACTATAAAATTGAATGTCCATTTTACTTCCACAATCCATATTTAAAGTCATTGTAACAAGAAAACTCTCCTAGTAATAATAATAAGCAAGAAAGAGAGTAAAAGCAGTATCAATCCAATACACCAAATAAAGAAAACATAAACATGAGCAAATTACTATATAAAAACTTTTATACACAATGCAGGGTAATAGAGAATAAAATATATAAAGGATAACAATAATATGAACATTGATATATAATGACCAGTGTTTACAGTGGCAATCAGACAACTTAACTTATCTTCAATATCAACTCAGTTTGTCATATTCATTTTAGCTGCAACCCAGTGAAGCCTAAGACTGTCTTTAGAATTCTAGGAGACATAATTCTTACACAGTCAATAGGTAAAATCTTATAAATTAATTGCTCAAAATAGAAATTTACTTCTTGTAATATAATAATAGACAAGTTAAAGCTGAATGCAAAAGCAAATTATTAAAGTATTTGATGCTCTATGACAAAAATAATTTTTAATAAGAACGATTCATAAAGCAGCTGTTTAAATCAGTATTTTCCAAAAACTTTATTTCAGATCATCTAAGCATTCCTGTCAACTGATCAGTCAATTAGATTACACTACTTCCTAAAAACAAACTTTATTTTTGTCCAGTTTTTGTGAAATTGGGCTGTGTTTTATCATTATTTACGTTAACATGTAATACAGTCTGCTCAATATGTGGTTCCAGAATAAGTCATAAAGGCTAGAATAAGAAACTACATGTAAAACGTACCAAATATACAAATCAATAATGGGGTTTCGAAATTGTATTTGGTTGACATATTTGCATATCTATATACCCTTGTTTTTTTTACATTGGTCAGTGTCAATCTGACACCCTTTTGAACAGGTACAAATAATGTTTCATTTTTACTTTCTAAATAAAGGTCAAATGTGGTGGATTAAGTTATCTAATTTATATAAGATGAGAGTAGTATTACAAAGATATAGTATTACCTGACTTATTCTGGTCCAATACAACAACTTAAAATTGTTGAAAACTTCTATGCTCTATATTAAGACTTTTGAGGATTCCAAAAGGGTCAGTATCCAGATCTGTGCCTGGAGTAACATAACCACTTGGAGTTTGAGGTGTAGTAGCTTCCACACTATGTAACCTTTCACCACCAGCAGCACCTTCAGGTTGGGGTGACAGGTTAGGCATGGGTTGTTTCCGCAACACCCCAGCATAGGACATTTTACCATTGCCCACAATACCAACTTCTTTATTCTGATTTGCATCAGGTGGTGTAAAATTCAAACGTAACTTTGGAGGAGGTGTTCCATTATTTCTAGCCCCTTTCCTTACAGATAATTTGTCTTCTGGTTTCTTGTGGTCTGAAGATTCCTGTGTTGGAGTGGACGGTTCCTCAGCAATACTCTCTTCCATCATCTGTACAATATCTTTCACTTCTGTTGGAGTCGGTAGATCATCACTGAACTGACGACTGAATCCAGTTTTCAAACTTAAGTTTTTTCCAGGTCTTCTATCTATCAGAGTGTCAGATACTGAATTGCCGTCATCAGAATCAGGATGACGTTCACGTTGACTGAATGGACCTCTATTTTTAGAGAATGGATGAGGCTTGGTGGTCTGTTCGCTGTCTGATCCTGGCGTGGAGGAACGTTCACATGTATAGTTAGCAGGACTATAGGGACGTTCAGATACGTGTAATCGTCTGTCTTCACTCTGTGTATGAGGGATGGGTGGTGACCTCTTCTGCCCGTGTTCACCAGATTTGTTGGTTGTTTTACCAGGTTTTGTGCTATGAGGGATGGGTGATAAATGGCCAGGAATATGCTTGACATTGGGTAGAAGTTGAATCTGTTGACCTGAAGTGGTTGCACTAGGTGATGATCGTGCTTCTGTGGTATCAGAATCGCTGTCTGATCTTGGAGATTGGGCCGCGGATGCACCTACATAATATCTTGCAGGCATATTTAAATGCGGATGTAGATAGGGATTAATTTGTCTTGCATCATCTGGGACATAATAATATCCAGGATACTGGGGCATCATTGGATAGTATGGTGGATATGTTATAGGAAATCGTTGTGGCATGTACATCATCATTTTACGTGATTGTTTTGGATGAAGTCTTCCTTCAAATGTCCTGATAGCATCTTTAGTATTGTTTTTCTGGTTATTAGATGAGAGCTGACCAGCTGAGCGAGATGATTTTGGAGAAGATCTTCCAGTAGTAGGTTGTGGTTTGTACATGACTCTACCATGATACAGGTTAGGCATATAGCCTGGGATTGGGAATGGCATCATTTGTTGATACATCTACAAAGAGAGGAATCAATGTTAGATTGAACTCAACTTATAAATATTATGGAGCATTGTTTTTATTTTTCATTAAAGGGAGGACATCAAGATATTTACATAATGTTTACCATTTTCAAATCAAAGCTGGAAGTGATTAAAGGTAAGACATACCGGATAAGGATGAAAGTTGGATATGGGATGATTATATGGTGAAGGTCCATACAAATGTTGTTGCCAGGGTGGAATAGAGGGCATTGGTTGTGACTGGAGATTCATTCCCATACTATCAGATGCAGCTTTAGTTATATGATACAATCTGTTAGGTATAAATTCAGGAGCTAGTGGATTTAAGGTATATGTCTTTGTCATCTCAACACCCTCTAGCTGAGCTCTAAGAGTACTCCATGTCATACCATAAAAACTACTGTGTTGATTACAGATCTCCAGAAAATATTCCCACACTTTCCTGAAATAAAAAATGACAAAAAAATGATAACATTTCCGTTGGCTTTTTTTTCATCTAAAACCTAATTATTTTAGTTTGCCAATCTGTAAGAATGTAAAATTCAATCATCAAAGAGTAAAATATAGTAAGCTATACTTTTAAAAAAATTTGAATTAACTGCTTCCCCTATGTGTAGACCAAAGTTAGAGTAATCTATCACATCAAATTAGCAAATACTTGCAGGCTGAATTTTGGTAATCTAAGCTGGTCACAGACCTAGTAAGTTGAGAAAAAATGACAACTCAGTTCCTACAAAAGAGTGACATACTAGGATTTACCCTATGAAAAAGGTAGGAATGTGCAAAGACTAGCAGATAAATAGTATCCATGGATAGTGGTTATCAATTGAGAATTCAGATTAAACCTTTGCTGTATTTTTACAAAGCATTAAACTTAATAAAATACTTTACTCACCTACATTTACCAACTAAGCATAGAGATACAGGATCACCTACTACCATAACTAGAGATTGAGCTCGTGTAATAGCAGTATTTAACAGTTTTAAATTAGATAGGAAACCATAATCCATCAGGTCTTCTTCACTAGTATCTGATCTACATGTATTCTGGGTTCTTACTGTACTTAATATTACTACACGGAATTGTTTTCCTACAAACAAAACACATTTTACATAAAAACTATTCAAGTACAGATACATAGTGAAAGAAGTAAAGATTCTTAAGTCAAAATTGTTTGAGTTTTTACTGAGCTATGTCATTCAGATTTCAAGTTTTTGAAAATGATACGTCGTCACTTTCATTTTCTGGGGTATTAAAGAGAATTTCTAAATTTGTATATATATCGAAGACAGTGATAGCAATTCCTGCGTTTCCAATCATTGTCCTTTAATAGAAAAAAAATCTCAACAAAAACTAACCCTGTATATTATGTACTCTTTCTACACTAATATGATATAACTTCTGTCTTCTTAATTCATTTCTTATAAACTTAACCTAGATATATAGATTCAACATCAACATGGCATAAACATGAAATTCTTATTTACAAACTTTCAATTTTAAGTCTGGCACACACACGAGCCATCAGCTCTTGCAGAAATCATTTGTGCACTTCGCCTTAAAGCGATAGCTTCCGTGTGCGGGTAAATTTATGTAAGATTTTGGTCATTCGTGACGAAATGTTTGACTAATTTTTTCCACGAATGAACAAATGCTTGTGTGTGTGTGTAAATAAAGCTATCGGAAGCTATCGCCTTAAGAAGTGCACGAATGAATTCTGTCTGAGCTGATGGCTCGTGTGAGTGCCAGAATTTATTGTCTGTTATTTAATATTGAAAATGTACAATCAAACAGTCTTATTTTATCGTTAGATATACATCCTAACTCTTGAATAGAAGAGATAACATTCATTTAAAAGTCAATATTCAAATTTTTCAAAATAGTCTAAACAAATTGACTTTTGGATCAGTCAATTCATTCTGTGTTTCACCTATAAAGTTGAATTGATAAATAATTTGTACCTGATCGGCATAGGGCGTAACAATACTAATAGAACTGTCATTCATTGGTCCCCATTCATCTAACCACTTTCTCTGTAGATCAACTACTCTTTCAACTACCTCAAATACCTAAAATATAATCAACATGTTTAATACTTTCTATCCTGAAAGCTCTGAAAGGTGTCCAAAACACATGTACATGACTCATGTAATCAAACTATTATTCAATGTGCCTAAAATTGGGTATGTCAAAGTTTTAAATTTATAAAAATTAATTTAGGTGAGTCACTTGCTTAGCTTAGAGCCTGAAATCGGTCCAAATATTTTCCAAGTTTCTAAACAGCCTTCATTATCCCAATGTGGTGCGCAATCACTCCCCTCAAAAATCTGGATAGTTATTTTAAGTCAACTGACCTCTGCTGCATTGTAAAATCCTGTACTATTTTGATGTTGAACTTCTTCACCTTTTGCTGCGTAAAATGTGAGTGGGTAAAGTTTACTGTGAGCCTTCTGTTTACCACTAGAGATCAGTTTGTTTTCATAGAATAATTCAGATGTAAAATCAACAATGGCTGAATGAGATCTATAGTTCTCACAAAGCATTATTTTACACGGGTGATCATGAGGGTAATATTCATGTAGACGTTCTAGAAGTGACATTTGGAAATATTGCTGCCGACAGAAATCAGCATACACTTCAGGACTGAGCTGAAAGAAGAAAGGTAAAAACATAATAATGATACAACTATCAAAATACTTCAGTAGTTGGGTTTTTTGATGTCATATATGCAAATTAGTATAAATGTGTGTTAAAAGCTTGAAGATTGTGAGATTGAAGTTTCAAGAGCTATTTCCTACTGAGTTGAATTTACTTAATTTGTGTACATCATCAGAAGTCATTGTAAATATATCATTTTATTAACAAGAACATCTTGTACACTCTACAAATGAATGTTTTTTATTTCACCATAATAATGTATGTTTTTTATTTCACCATAATAATGTAATTTTTGTCAGTATTAATAGGTATAAACTTAATGATATAAAGGTCTATTTAACATATCATAAATATAAAATATACAACTTAATTAGTTTAAGTTTAATAAAACAGAAATTAACCAAAAAGTATAAAAATCATAAAAAAAAGGATTAATGAATATGCATACATCAAATAATGAAATTAACAATTTATAGACAATAAATCATTACTCCAATTAGATTGTTTAATGTTTGCTTCAAAGTTTTTGAATCTCTAAGATCACATCTACCGAACCTTAAACAAAATTTCCCTGGTTTTCAAAATGATATACTTTTCAACGAACCTGCATATGATCTCCTGCTAGTACCAATCTAGTTGATTCACATGACATAGATAATGGTATTAATGTTTCACATTCTAAGGCTTGAGCTGCCTCATCAATAAATATATGAGAGAAAAACCCTGCAACAAACAAATATATTGATTTACTAGATTAAATTTCATAGTTACAGTTGAAATTAAAAAAAAAAATTAAAAAAAAGCTCAATTCAATAAAAATGATGGAAATTCAAAACATATTGTGCAGATAGGCCGACTCTGACTCACTAAATAGCTCAACTCAAACAGAAAATACAGACTCAACCCTTCGATCACTAAGTGTGATATCATATACCTTGAACTTCAAGCAGTATGAGTTGAATTGTATGACATTTACATTATTTTACGTCACATGGTAATGGCTGATTGACAGGCCGAAATGGGTAACATATCCCATCATTTGTGAGTGGTAGAAGGGTTGCTAGGCAATAGGGTTAAATAATTAAATAGAAACACTCATATCAAGTACCACCGTAAACGCTTGACAACCTTAAAAATTGATGCAAAAATGGAAAGCTACCTTATAAAAGTAACAATACACTTACCTTTAGAGATATTTAGATCACTGATATAACGTGCAGTATTTAATGTTGTAATAATAACTCGATGTTTCTCTAAATCTTCTAGTGTAGGATATTTAAATGTACTGGTATGGGAATCAAATAGTGAATATTTTAACACTGTTTCTGATACAGTCTGAACCCATCTGTTTTTATATATAATACGTAATGGTTTCATCTCTTCATTACCTTCTTCAAACCAGGCATGGAAAAAATCTTTAATATATAAATCACCAGCACTGGAATTGAAAATATTAAATTTTCCATGTAATAAATTAGGCTAATGAAGACATATCCAAAATAGAAGCCCAGGTAAAAATATCACTTTTGCTGAAAAACTCTACATATCTCTCCTAAATATTAAATATCAATACAAACTTACATTCTTATCACAAAGACATTCTAAAACTATCTATAAGAAATAAGCTACATCTTGAAAAAACAGCTATTCAAAGATAATAATTGACATCATAATACATGTATTACCTATTAGAATGGGTACAAATCAGTATTCTACTGCCATCTAGTTGTTTGAGTACTTGTTTAGCTGCCTGAGCCAATGTATATGTTTTACCAGTACCAAATGGTCCAACTATTAATAAGGGAGGTAACTTTGTCTCAGGATCAATTGTAATAGCTAATACAGCTTCTTTCTGTTTTGCATTTAACTTACAACCATTTAATTCAGAATCACATTGTCTACAAATAGAGAATCGATGATTTATATTTATTGATGAGGGGATCAACACCTTTACTTTCTAAATTGTTAAAAGCCCTTAAATCATATATAATTTCTGTCAGATTTTTGGAATCAGTCACAATAGGAAACAAAATAAAAGTTTAAATTTCGTAGAGTCAGGTATTTAATCAGAGCATGCAGGGCCTCTAATTTATTGATTTCATATGGCCTTACAAGTTTTAAACAAAAGAATACAAGTATTTTGGATCATATATAGGACAAAACATTTTTAACAACAGGTAACGCAACTAACATAATTTCCAGTGGCGATGATCAGTCATTATATTCCCATCTACATATCACCAAAATATATTTTATGACACTTACCTTGAAGGAGACCAAGGAATTGACTTGTAATCCTCTAGAGTTGGAAACACAGTATCTATTGAAGGTAATTTATCCACTGCAGCATGCATTTCAACTTTAGGTAAACGGTTTAACTGAAATTGGACCTACAAAATATTGCAGTAAATAATCAATTTTAGATAAGATCAATACCTTGTGAAAATGATACTTTGATAACAGCTCTAAGTTAAATGTAATGGTCTAGTCTAAGGTCTCTGAAAAACTTCTTTTTTTCAAATTTTTCATGAATTGCTTCCTATTTGCATTTTGATCATGGTATTAACTCTTTCAAGAAATGTCTAGAAAATACAAGTTGGTTTATTTTTCATGTTCTAATTTAAAGGTGTAGAAACAAGTAACTTACTAAAACTGTTACTTCTTCATCACAGGAGAGTTTCAATTCTTCAACACAAACTTTAGGTAAACGTAGAAATATAAAATTCTTTCCTTTATCTTCTATATATACTTCATATGCCTAAATAAAATATAAATCATTTACATCATGTTCCACTATGGGTTTCCACTGAAATGCAATCAAATGTACTTTGTTTTCAGTTAATGCTACAGCACTATATTTATATTTCCAATTCTTAGAAGCAAATGAAAACTGATGGGGAACTCGAAGATAGCGGACCAAAGCCATGCAGATGGTAAATATTCCAGATTTTGGGGCAAGGGCTTCTAAATAGCTCAAATTCGAACTTGATCTTCGTTTTATCAATATGTATACACATACCGAATTTCATTTGATTCCATAAAAAAATCTAGTTTTCAGAGCGTTTACAAGCAAATGTTGACGGACGGATGGACCTTCATTTCATGAATATGTATGCACATACCGAATTTCATTTGATTCCTTCAAACACTCTAGCTTTTAGAGTGTTTACGAGCAATTGATGTTGATAGAAGCACTTACCGTATAGAGGTTAAAGGGCGATAACTCCTCAAAACAGACGTAAGAGGCCTAAATCTTGAAAACTAAAACCTTTCGATTTAGGTCCAATAACATCTATTTTAAGTTTCATCAAAATCGGTTGAAAACTAAGAGAGTATGGCATATTCAAGATTTTGGGGCAAGGGCAATAACTCTGCTTCTAATGGTCGAAAATAGCTCAAATTCAAACTTGATCTTAGTTTTATGAATATGTATACACATACTGAATTTCATTTGATTCCATCAAAAAATCTAGTTTTTATAGCGTTTACAAGCAAATGTTGACGGACGGACGAGGGTGCCGACAATATACGTCCACATAGAGAGATGTGGGCGGATAAAAACTAAACAGTAAACAGGAAACGTCGTAGAATCTGAATAGCCTGCACTAATAGAGAATATTTGTGATAACTGTACATAGTAACAGTCCAAAATTGATAATAGTAAAATTCCAATATACCTTTTTAGGTAATGACTTTTCTTTATTAGATTTACATAAAGCAATATAAGCAAATTGAGCATTTTGTAAAATCAAACGACCACTTATACTATCTTCACACAAATCATCTTCAAGTTTCATTTTAGCAAATAATTCTCCATTGTTAGCATATTTAGCTATAGACAGTGCACCAGGCATCAATAAAAATCTATTAACTAGTTGTAGAGCTGTTTTAATATTAAATCTGAAATAACAATTCAATAATAACATCTTATATTCCATACTTTGTTCAGAATGAGCTTCGTTTTATTTTGTACTAATTGTAAAATTGAAGATTATACCCGTAATGTGTAGAGAGCAAAATGTATGGAAAGAAATCTGCATTCTTGAAGGATGTAGAATAAGATCTCTGCAGGAATATTAATTCCTAAAAAGTAATGTCATAATAAAATATATAATTTCATTACAGCGTATCAATGCTTTCAATTCATCCAAAGCATTAATAAGATTCTGATTAGAATTTCATAACTTAGAAATCTTACCCAGAAATTGATGAAAACTGAGCCATTTCTTCTAAATATAACATTTCATGCATCCACTCTCTGTAATTTTTTTTATTTAATGTTTGCATGATGGCTGATTCTGGTCGAGAAAATTTTTCAGCTTGAGGTAAACTGTACTTGGCCAGCAAGTTTTTATCACTTTCACTTAAATACTCAGAACTACAAATAGTAAAAGAATTAGGTTCACGTTATTCAGGAGTATGCCTCAATTTACTTGGTATAGTAAAAGAAGAGTTACAGAGGAATTTTTCTTTAAAAAATCAGATTTAATAATGTAATATAAGGATTACTCCACTATTTCTATTAACCTTAATAGACCGTAGACCTCATTTTTGAACGAAAGCGAGGTTAATAGGTCATCCATTGATAAGATGGTTACATCATGTGGATGAATGGCCAATTTGACATCATTAAACACTCGTTCAACAGTGAGAAAATGGGCTCAAAACGATAAAATTCCTGTAAAAGTATCATAGTATAGCTTAATAAATTTTGAATTTAAAGATGGGTTCCCTTATTTTCATATACAAGAATGAAAATGCTAATACTTATATGAATAGAAAGTAGGGGTGTTCCAATGATGATTTGACAATTAGCATTTGGGCAGTGTGTTAATGTTATTGATCTACTATTGTCATGGATATCTCTGAAAAAATATCTTGAAAAAGCGTCATTCGATCTTACCTCAGTTGAAAAGGTGTAATATTAACTTTATCTTTAGTCCATCTATTAGCTTCTGTTATAATAATATCACTAGCTAGTTTATCTAAATCTGTTTCTGATTCAACCTGTATCTCTCTCATCAATACTGTCTCAAACCCAAAATCAAATATAATAGACTGTCGGAATGTACCAAATATATCAGTTTTAAACACCACCTGTGTTAAATAACAAATTAAAGGTGAAGAGTTTTTACACATACCATCTAAAAAAACATTAATCTCCCTCCCCTTTAGAGATTCAGATTTATTTTTACAATATGAATAAGTTACCATAGGAATATGTGAAAAAGTATCTAACTTTGGCTAATATAAATTTAACAGGTCTAAAGTAACAAATTTCAAAGTATGCATGTTTTCATTCGAAACCATCATTTTGGAATCAGATACTTTTACTAGATCTACTAGATCAAAGAATGACTAAATGAGGAAAGTATCAAAGTTCCTACCTTAACTCTATATACATATTCACCATGTGATTTACCAGATAAATCAGGATTATACCATTCCTGACAATGATTCTCTAGATTCTGGTATTTCTGAGTTTTCTTTGGACCAACTGATATTGATGAGATATAGAAATATGATTTGTTGACATCATCTAATAAACATACATTATGTAGTGACATCTGAAATACAGATAACCTCAGGCTCAAGTCTTCTATATAACATTAATTTGGACCCATTGTGTTATGTAAAAATCATTTGCCGGGAAAAATTCACTCATTAATATTCACAGAATAAAGATCTGACTTTTTCATCTATAAATAGCCTTAGCTACTTGGATGACTTCTGTTGAGATCAATAAGAATCAGATTTCAATGGTTCTAGTTTCAATTAAGAAAAATAATAATCTTGATCTTCAAATGTACAACCAAAGCAATTAGCGACTAAAAAGTAGATATTCTCAAAAAAGAAGTTACAAAATTCATAACCTTATTGAATCCATCATTATAGAAATGCATGAATCAATTTGTTACAAAGTCAAATTATCTTTTTGAGATCCTGTCACTGCTAGAACATAATTAATGACTGGAAGGTTGAACACAGTTTACTTACCTTACTAGTTACTGTAAATGTCCAGGCAAACGTTGATCTTTTATTGGGCATGGTAACTTTTAAATCAGCATTTATATGTAACTTTACAAAATCTAAAGACTGTACCAACTATAGAAAAAAAAAAGAGAATATATCAAACTAATAATTAAAGTAAAAGAGATAAGGTTGGCTTTTTTGACCAGTTATCCCTGAATTTTACAGTGACTAGTTTCATTCAGATTGAACTCTTCAGACTGATAAAAACTCACTCAGCAGGGGCTGACTTATATACTGTTCGACCCCGGTAAAAAGTTGGCGGGGTTAGACCCGGTAGAATTTTCTACCGGGGTTTTCGGGGTTTGATAACGGTAGAAATTTTTAAGTACAATGTTATTCTGTTAGAGGTATTTTAAAATGAAGGATAAATTATACAGCTGAAACTTCCAATAATTGTTATTCATTCATACACTTAATTCTCATATATTTTTTAGATCTATTTATAAAATGACTGCTAGAGATATCACTGATAATTTACATAGAAACATGCTTTCCTAATATTTAAGTATCATGCAACAAATCAAATTAAAACTTGTATTTAAGAATGAGAACTCACTATAGCTCTAGGGTTTTCTGATAGCATCAATCTTTCCATCAACTTCTCAGTAAATGAATTTCCATGAAGGAGTTTTTCTCTGGCTTTTTGTAGTTGCTCACGTCGAAACTTAAATCGTTCTTTCCATTCATTTAATTCCTCTTCAGAATGAGCTTCTGTACATTTTACACCAAATGAACAACGCTCATTGTCAGCAAATCTTAAAATAAATTAACTGCTTGTAAAATATAAGCTTAAACTGTGTTTCAAAAAAAAATCAGGAAATGAAATAATCATGATAAATGGATAAGTCACAGAAATAATTGTAAAATGATTATTATGTCAAAGATTTTAGAAGTTTGTGAAATAAAATTGTATACAAGGGCAAGTCAAGCTTGACATTCACAAATTAAGAAATTAAATAGGAAAAGTAATTACATAACTAAATACAAATAAAGCAGAATACCTTTGACATAGAGAATATTCTTCACTGGATAATCCTCTTGGAGGAGGTCGGAACTTCCAGTCTTGTCCTTCATCAGAAGTAAGACGTTTCTTATGCAGATCACTTCGGCAATGAGTTTCCAATTCTTCTTTCTTATTGAATTTGATATCACAGAAAGTACATTCAAATCCATCAAAATCTACAAATATCAACACATATTCAAAATAAAGAACTTAATAGCGGACTTGTATTATTATTGAATTAATTTTATTCAATTTTGCAACGTGTTATAATATGCGTATCTGTTTTAATCACCCTTCAATAGCAAGTTCTCCCAAGATTACTACTGTCTAATACTACTAATGCAAAGAACAAACTTACCAGCTTGAGAATTTTGTAGATTGTTCAAAATACAATTATTTTTTTGGGTAAAACTATCTGGACGTAGATTTTCTTCCTTTTCAGCAATTACACAATCTGTTTGTAGATCATTTTCATTATCTGTTGATTCCATTGAACCAGGGTTTGATCTTTCTCTGTCATTTTCTGGTTGAAGGGAAGAGGAGGGTGGTGGCTGTATTGACTCTAAGTTGACATCTTGTGGATCGTTATTATTGTCATCCTCATCTGAATAATTATCATCTAGAGCTGCTAAAACTACTTTTAATCTGTTTACTTCCTTTTTGGCAGTTGGGTGCTAAAAGAGTCAAAATACTTTAAAATAAAGTCACAAGTTCAAACTGTCAATATGAAACTTAAAGGGACAGGTGTGCCATTCTTTTTGAACAATCATACCTTAGTCTCAGAAACGGGAATTTTTAAGCTAAGCCAATGGATAATAGTGTTCACAGCTCACTGTCGAAAATTTGAGCTTTTAAGTCCGTGTGTGTCCAGAATTATCTGTGATTGAATGTTAAAATGACTCGTCAATTTAAGATACTCTATGATATAAAGAAAAGGCATATATAGAAATAGTGAGTAAAATTCCTATTTTGAGATACTTTTGAAAGAATTATGCGATTTTCGTACATTTCTAGTACTTCTGAAGACCCAAATCAAACCCCCAAAATGGTGCACCTGTCCCATTAAAGATAATGTTTTCCTTCTGACAACAAATAGTTTTCTTGCTTTGCCCTTTAAAAGAAATATGATGTTTCAAACTTATATAAAACACAGGCTTTTTTTTTAATTATATTGTTAGATTAAAAATCTAAATGATGTGGTCGAATCTGGAAGAATTAAATAACAGATGAGATACAAGAAAACATAAATTAAATACCTCTGGTTGTCTTTTAGACCAATCTGTAGACAAACCATATGCCTCATGAAACCTTCCTAGTTGACACAAAACTTTAATCTTTTTTTCCAATAATTTTTCATGATGGGGTTTAGATTTTAGACCTGAAGAAGAATTGTGAATTAGAAGTTAAAATAAAAAGATATAACTATACAGTTTCCAATGTATTATATCATTCATTGTAGGGTAACTAGAATCAGATAAGCAAAGTCGAAACTGAGCCAGCCAATAAACATATATTGAATACTATATACCTTGTTTATAATTAATAAATTTGAAATAAAAGTTTACCTATATTACATTCCTCCAAAGCCTCTGAAAGTTTATGCTGAAATACACATAGAATTATAATTGAAATTTATAAAACATTAGACTGCCATTTCACCTCATTCGCTGGACTATTTCTTTGAATTATAAGAATTTGCTGGGTATAAATCAACTATAATTTGAAACAAAATTGGCAATGTAAAATATTTTTTTCTTCAATTCCAATTCTAGTATTTCAGGTTGAAAAGGTTATAGCAAACAATATTATTTGAAATTGTGCTTCATCAACAACATGAAATAGAATTCTACAACATATTCTACACCAAGTTATTGTCCACAAGATAAATTTTTACATGAATAAAAACAGAACTTTACCTGTTTGACTAATGATGAAATTATAGATAATAATTGTGGTATATTAACATGACTACTATTTTCTTCCTCCCTCCCATTATCATCATTTTCATTTATTTCACTATCATTTTTAATGGCCCCTTCATCCATTCTACGTCACATGACCGTTTCATCTGATATTAAGGAAACTCCTCCTAGAAATAATCAGTATTTGAACATGATCCAACCAAAAAGTACTCCAACATATTCAAAACCTTTGAAGAAAGGCTGGTCTTGTTCATTTAAAGGATGAAGTCCTGTGTTATTGTCTTCTCTTTCTAAACATTACAATAAGTGTTCCCTTTGCTCTTATGGAATACAATAGTTTAATACAGTGCCAAATAGACAAAGTATTAATCTCCATGAAATGCAGAAAAAAAAATGACTGATAAAGTCAACTCAGTACAAGTAATTTAAACAAATCTAGGTTGGGTTTCATTCATGAATTAGGCCTATTGTAAATTTAGAAATATCGAATGAAAAAAATGCAATATGGGGTAAACTTCAAGAATTTGTTATGGCCAAGTCTTATAACCTAAACTTCACCTAAAACCTAAATATACAAAACTCAAAAAGTCACAACTTGACAAAAAAAAAGGTGCTACTAAGCATACAACTAAATATTACCGAATAATTAATTTTTTATCAAATTCATCCAGAGTGTCGCAGACACATCACCTATTAAAAATCAATAAAAAGGTAGACTATATAATATAGTTTATAACAATTTTATTCAATGTTTTTTTTTTTTTTTTTTACTTTTGTTTCAAGGGAAAAGTGGGGAAAGATGACAATGACAACAACAAGTTATTCTTCATTTTACTCATATTTGTGTCACATCCTTACCAATACTCTTAACATTTAATGCACTTGCAAGACTAGTGTATCTAGCCTGACGTGTACACGAAGTATACTGTTCAATAATTATCTTTTACTATTGTTTATCATAACACAATAACAATCACCTGTTATTTTTGACTACTTCCTGTAAAAGGAAGATGACGTCACTTCCGAGAACTTGCGTGATTCAACGAGACGGTGGAATAGAAGAAAGAGGACTAAAATTTTAGACGGAGAAAAATTGTCTTGAGATTGGAGTCGTCAAGATTTTTGTATTTAGTTATCGACAGATTGAAAGAAGAATGCGTATTGAAGCAATCTACGACCAAGACAAACGATAATTTACAGGAATATTTGAATTATCGACAACGAAAAATTAACTGATCACGAGGTTGGAAGAAGAAGAAGAAAGATGGCTGACAAATGAAATGTAGTAATCGACAAACATCGTTGAGGGTTTAAGTATCAAACTATCAACATGGTGGGTTGTCACAAATTGTGATCAATCTATTATAATCACAAAGTAAATAGAAGATTTGTCAACGGTGGACAATTCGAAGATTAACGAAGAATTTTTCACGACCTTGACCTTTTGAATTAACAACCGGAAGTGCGGTAACATATTTTTAGTCTTGTCCACTTCATAAAAAAAGGAAAAGTTGCTAAGAAATTTTGAATAACTTCATCTGATCATCTACCAGAATGTCTTGCATTCATTACAAGTTCAAGACCACACTGGATTACAGATCAGTTTCATTCGATGGTGTTGCATTATCTCTTGCTGATTTGAAGAAAGCTATATTTCAACAGAAACGGATGAAACCTGGAGAATTTGACCTGGATATTACCAATGCACAGACAAAAGAAGGTATATATTGCTGTGAGAGTACTAAATTCTTTAAAATCGCATGGCTAATGCATTGTATTTGAAGAGAGTTATACCTGAAAATGCTTTTCTCAGGTTATGATTATAACACCTTGCAGTATTGCTGTTATTATACTGTTACTGATTCTGATATCTTTATATTCATTTCAGTTTACAAGAATCCTGATGAACTTATTCCAAAGAACTCATCTGTTATTGTCTCTCGTGTCCCCATACAGACATCCACCAAAAATAGTACCAGCAAATCATGGTAAGTATGATAACTCCAAACTAGATATTCACTTCAGTAAGATTTAAGTTTTGAGAAGGTATCAGCCAGATCAACCTAAAATGTAACACTAAAATATTTACAAAACTGTAACAGATCCACTAAACGGTAACATGAAAATGAATCTATATAAATGTGCTATATAATATTTTTATTATTTCGTGATTATTTATTACAAACAAATGTATTAACAATCAAATACAGCTAGACAATCAAATAATACTGATAATGAACATCGTAATACCAAGAAAACATTCAATGATAAAACAACTGTCAATCAAATCTACAAGTACCGCCTACATCAATTTATCTATGTGAGTCATGACGGCTGACAAAGATTAGTGTTTGGTTGATCTACTTTTGAAAGAAAAGTTAGAATTCGATTTTGTAAGACCAAGACCATTTTGATATTTACAAAACTTGGTACCGGTACGAGTGTTCGTAATCACCCTAGGATGTACCCTATTGAAAATCAGAAAAATCGAAAAATATTTAGTATGAGTTATTGCCCTTGTTCTTGGAAACGCTTTCAGGTTTTAGCTCTTAAACACTAAAAGGCATGATTCTTGCCAGAATTAGATAAAACTTCGTTTTATTATTCAGTACTGCGCTGAAGATTGAATATTTGCCTTCTAATGTTTTCACAAGCTAAAAATTGAAAGTTGAATACTTCATACTGGTGATTGTTACTGTACCGCTAAATATTTTTATTCAAAATCAAAGCTGCCAGTGGGCATATATTACCTTAAAACAATAAAATATGTTTAAACAAACAAAAAAAATATTACCTTGCCTGGCAAGCTATCTTGTAAGTTATTAAGAACACTACCCATATTTTTTTAATTAACACCGGAAAATATTTTTTAAAATGCTGTTGACCATCACCTGATATTGTGACTTCAACCTTATGACAGGAACAAGACTGTAAGCTTGATATGTTATTATTTTATACAAATTGTCTTGTTACCGGCAGATGCATTAACTTTTTACCCAAATTATGTTACTGATTTTGTTAATCTGTTACCGTTTTGGACTATCAAGATTTGTTACTGTTTTGGTTTGTGACTGTTTAACTGGATACCTTTTCATAATCATAAGAGTTTCGTATTTATATTACTTGAAATGTAAAAATCTAAACTCCTCATATCCATAACAGATGTCCTGCTTGAACATCTGTCTACAACATAAGATTAACTATCAACCAGACCACTGTACTTATGATATTTTCTTTTGTATATTTCAGGGAGGCATTCAAGCAGAATTGTGCAAAAGCAGTACGTTTATAAGTTTTTATACACCTTTTCTCTTCCCGGGTAAAATGTATCTTTTTTTTTTTTATGATCTTGTGGGGTTAAAACTGTGATATTTTTGTGAAGATTTTCTATTTCAGGTCTATTATGTTTATTGGGAATATCTATAATTCCCTTTCACTCATAGTATGTTCTTGCTACTGCTTGAACATTACATAATTTGCAAAATTTTTATTGTTGACACTTTTATTTATCACTTTATGTTGGTTTTTTTTTTGGTATCACTAACTGAATAATTGAAATCATTATAACAGTAACAAAGTAATGTGTAATTCTGAAATAACATGTATGTTTTTTCGTCATAAAATATGTTGAAAAATAGTTTAATACTATAATCTTTGTGTTTTCTTAAAACAAACTTTCAAACATTGAAATCAAATGTGAAGCTGAATCTCTGAGATTTGATTTAATTGTTATGGAGTCTTTTGTTATTTTGACATGGCTAGTGTGAAATATGTTATGAATTATGACCCAATGTTAAGAGATTCAGCTATTTTCTTCTTGTACATCTTGTATGGTTATTGTATGTATTTCGCAATATTTTGTTGTATGCTCAAATTTCTTGCACATATTAATGGGAAATAGTTGTTTGAAATAACAAATCAAGCGTCCAATTACCTGTAAACCTATTGCAGCTAAAGATCTGTTTATACTCAAAAGTAAAATATATGTTGAGTTTAAATTTGGAAGATAGCAATGATTAGCATTCAATGTACTATGAATGTTTTTAATTGATGGGAATATTTATCCTATCTTACTATGAATACTTCCCATCTCATACTACCCTGATCATTAAACAGGCTTGGAAGTATATACTGTTACTGAAAAACAGGTAACATCCTCAAGAATATTGGAATAATGAATTTACAGAATGCATTTTTTAAAGATATGATGCACAGATTTCATGTTTTAAACTAATTTTGTATTGAATAAGAAGTTTTTGTGCTGTTTAAGTTCATTTGTATATCGAAATTTACCAATAATTTTCACAAGAAGTGATCAGCTTCAATGTAAGAATGCCTTTGCTTTGATCAAAATATAATCTTGAGCCCACATTATCACTTAAAAATTGGGTTTATAGCTGTCAGTTAACATTTTTTTTAAAATTTCTGGGTGTGAAGATTCTGTTCATTGTTAACTGTATATTTATTGATGCAAAGTCACTGTTATGACTATCTGTGAAGCCGATTCACTTAAATAAAAGGGACAGAGTTCTATATACTAACGGTACAATGATGGTAATGGCAATATTGGTGTGAATTTGTTGTCTATGTACAAATAGTACCTTGTGCAAATATTGAAATGAATTAAATCTTTAACTGTAATGATTTTAATTGTCAATATTTTGTTATTTTGTTTTAATTCCTCTCTGAAAGGATTTGTTTTGAAAGGTAATGCCAAGCATTATATTGCTCGAAATGAATTGCGGCACTGCTTTCTGATACATATGTGGCTTGAAAAGGCAGTCTTGTTTCACTCTATCAGTGTCATTTGATCTGAAAAGAAATCATGCCTTTAGTATCAGAAAATGTTGCATTTAATGTATACCAATTTTCATATTCCTTCAGAGTCTGCCTATCTTATTGTACTTGTATATCAGTAATGTTGTTTAAAAGGGATACATTTCTTGCATGTAATAAAAACTGGATTGGCATTACCTTTCACTACCATATCCGAAAATCATGTAAGAAATGTTAGCAAATTTTAGAATGTTTACGAAGTTTTCAGTCATTGTGTTAAAATACATGAGGTCATATTTTTAATGTCATGACTATTAAATTTGAAACATACTGGCTTTAATTTATATGTCCAGATCACAATATGCCAATAGAACGGTATTGATATGTTGTGGAGGTATCTTTTTAAACCAGATTTTACATTTCATTATTATTAAGTTGAAAGTTAGCTCTTTTTCATCTGACCTCTTATAATATACAAATTGAATGTAGTACAGTGTCGTACAAATATTCTATTATATTTTTTCTTTACTGTAAAACTCTACAAGATATTGTTGGGTATGAGTATCAGTTTACTTTTTTAAAGAAACTAATTAGGTAGGAGAATTAACTTGAGAAAACACCATCATCTGACCAGATAAATCAGCATAATTCTGTTAATAAATTAAAATATTATTATTCAATTGATAGTCAATTGTGATAAATATTCTTTGATTTTTGTTACATATTGAGAATATATGATTTTAACAAGGGTATTTTGTACTTTGTTATAATTGCCAATGTTATTGTTATTATATAATTTATACTTTTGTATGTTTTATATTTGTGTTTATTGGCGTTTTGAAATAAACACTGGTTGTTATTGGTATTTTTGATTTATCTAAAAGATAAACTTGTGTGACTTCAAACTTCATTGGCCAATTCCCTTCAATGCATATTGCATCGCAAAATTTTCAGTGTGATTTTGGAATCTGAGGAATTTATTGTGAAAGCAACTTGACAAGTCTTCAAAATTATGTATTTTATTCAACATATTTCATTTTGGAGCAAATTGTCAGAAATTTATTACATCATACCTTTCGCTTAAGATCTGAAAACATCTTCGCTGGCGAATCCATGTGAGCACAGAATGTTGTAAAGAAATGTCACGGTTAAAAGTAAGTATAGTTCCAGTATGCTGAAAGTCCTTGACTCTTTGAGCAAGGTGAAATTTGAAAGAAGATAACAGATTACAACTTTAATTACTTAATGAATTCATTGTTATATAAAGTGGGGTGGTATAGGGAGGGAATGACCATTGAGTATTTAAGCTAATTATCTATATATAGCATGGTTTATGGGAATTATTTTCAGATGAAAGAACAAGAAGAAAAGGCAGCACAAGAAGCAGCCAGCCAGGTAATAATTGCCTGGAGTTTTATCAAATTCTTATAAGAGCTATATGTCTGACAGTTTTGAACTGATCTCAGACTGTTATTAAGAGTCATACACAATTTAGTCCCTCAACAGGTGTCAAAAAGGTTTTTCAAATGAGTGTCTGCCTTGTGGCACTCTAAGCAATAGTTAAATTGCTCTTAGAATTTATGAGTGTGAACCATCTGTTTTCAGTTATTAAACACAGAATCTTCAATCTCTGAATTCTTGCAATAACAGCTTCCGATATTTTGTATGATTCATTCAAGCTCATTGGCTCATCAATCTGAATGTTTGCTTGCTTACAGAAAGCTTCGAAATTTGATCATGCCATTGATAATGACCCTAGCAAAAAAAAAGAAGTCCATGATTTTGATAGCTTGATGTGTTTCCAAATTGCATCTTGCATGACATGGCAGAACTTGCTCAGGAGCAAGGAGTAAAATAATACAAAAACTTTTGTATATCCGCCCCTATATTATTATGAACTAATTTTTCAGGCAGAAGAAATGTCTAAAGCCAATTCAACAGAATTAGAAAAAATTAAAGCTATGATGAATCAATCAACTAAAGATTTTGATCCTTCGAAGTAAGTTGTTTTTCCTAAAGCATACTAGCTTCAGACACGCGCTTCTGCATCTATTCCTTGAGTGTTTCCTTTATTTCAAAGACTGTGAATAATATAAATTGTCCTAAACCCTGAACTCTCATTTATATGACAAAGTGTATGACGCTTTCCAAGGTTTAATGGCAAGTTATGGCCTCTGGACATAACAATTTGTATGAATATGGTTTCAAACTGAAATGTGCAGTGTAAAAAAAATTGATCAATGTTATGTAAAATGGTTCCTTTTCACATTCATTCTTCCACAATCCTCTAATCTGGAATTAGTTAAGCTTGGATGGTTCAGTGAGAAGAGACTATCCAACTTATCTTAAAAAATTAGAAGTAAAAACTTTCTTCCACTTTCTACAAGAGAAATATGCAAAAGAAACAAATTATTTTGTAGTTATAAAGGTAAAGTACCTACTGGTCAACCTCCTCCAGGTTATAAATGTTATAAATGTGGTCAAGCTGGACATTACATACAGAACTGTTTAGTTAAAACTGTAAGTTATCATTGATTTCAAGATTTATCCCGAATGTCGCTTAATGGCCTTAATAAATATTATTTAAGTTGATCTCCAGTCACTAAATTGACATTTACTTTTGGTTTTTTGAAATTTGAGAATTTTTCATTTAAACAATCAAGTTTTTATTTAACACAAATGTCACAGGTGTGCCATTGTTTTTGACCAATCATACTTTAGTGTCAGAAACAGGAATATTTTAGCTATGCAAATCAGTAATAGTGTTCATAGCTCCTGGTCAAAATTTGAGCCTTCAAATCTATGTGTCCTGATTTATCCACGTTTGAATGTTTAAAAGATGACTCGTCAATTTAAGATACTCTATGATATATAGAAAAGACATATATAGAAATAGTGATTAAAATTCTTAGTTTAAAGTATTTTTGAAGGAATTATGTAATTTTCTAACATTTGTAATACTTCTGGAGACTATTACAAATATTCAAGACTAAAATCAATACCTAAAAATGGCACACTTGTCCCTTTAACTTGAATTCAAAGCACAAAAAACTGTATCCTGTACTGTTTTTATTGAGCAATATGATATTTATATGTTCTGGTAAATAGTATTAAAGTCATATGCAAATGAAACAGAAAGAAAATTTCAGTTATAGAAAAGAAGTTTTTATTTCTGAGATAGCTAGCTATCAGAATTGATTTCAGGCATGATTAAATAACCTCAACACTATATCATATCCATTTGGTGTGCAAGTTGTGCCCATCTGGTGCTAGAGTTTTACTGTATAAATATGCCTTGATTGTAGGAAACCAATGCTATAGAACCAAGGTTTAAACGAAGTACTGGTATACCAAATAGTTATTTAACCTTCACCAATGATCCTACAACTCCAGGAGCTTTATTAACTTACTCTGGGCAATTCGCTGTTCCTACGATAGACAAGTAAGACAAAAATATTTGATAATTGTGATCCTACCACATCCACTTGGATCAATCGACTAAGAACGAAAATAAATTTGAAGCAGTTCAAATGGGGTTTGTTACATTGTTTGAAATTTGAGCAGAATTTTTGTTAGGAAAATGCACTGAGAAATAATTGAATTTTATTGTGTTATTCTGGAGGTACATGTAATGTAATATCAATTAGAAGAGAATTAAGTATGAATGATTATGATTTTGTTGTATTTGTAGGGCAGCATATGAGATTGGTAAGAAAGAACGTCCACCATTTCTACTAGGAGAAGATAATACCCCACCACCTGAAACTAAAGTCATACCCCAAGAGTTGTTATGTTTGATATGTAAAGATTTATTAAGAGATGCTGTGTTAATTCCTTGCTGTGGAAACAGTTTTTGTGATGAATGTAAGTACTATATTATACAAGTTTTACAATCAAAATAAGACCATGAAATCACTGGTGAATACATGGATTCCACACCATTCTTATCTTTTAAATGTTAATATGTACCTGTATTTCAAAAATATATGCTGATAGCATGGATGGCTACTTGGCTACCTGAACATGGTTTTAATTGTAAACAGCTAACTTTAGGTAAACAATAAAGTTGTCTCTTACAAGGAAGAAGATAAAGTATTTTAATGTGTTCTTGAAGACCTATGATGACCAAAGCCTATTGATTTAGTAATGATTTTGCAATGATAGGACTGAGGTCTTTCAATGATCTACTGCTATATATATGAAGACTTGATGTAGTGAAACTAGTGAAATCCAAGATGTGAATGTTTCTTTCTAGGTATTAGAAATAAACTGTTAGAAACAGAAGATCATGAGTGTCCATCTTGTCATGAACAGGACGTATCTCCGGATAGATTGATAGCTAACAGGCAGATGAGGAGAGCCATTGTTAATTTCCATAACGAAACTGGTTACATACAGGTGAAGAACAAAGCCATTGAGAATCTGCAAGAAGAGAGACGAAGTGCTAGTCCAACATTTCCTAATTCAGTCCCTCAGCAAAGTCAACCTCAGGTTGTACAGCAACCAGTTTATCAACCTCCACCACAGCCAGCCCCCCAACCAATAGTTCAGCAAGCACCTGCTAAACCTGTATCCGCCAGAGAAGGATGGAAACTTTATAATCAACAGCGTCGTCAACAACTTACACAGTCCCAACCAGTGCGTCAATCTCAACCGCCTCCTAATCAGTTAGTCCAGACTCAAACACAGGTAGTTCAACAACCCACTCAGATTCGTCAAGTGCCTTCTTCACAACCTCAACCAAATGCTTTGAATCAAGCTGTTATCAGGACACAAGTTCCATCTAGTCAGCCTCCACTTGTAGCAGCTCAACAAGTTCCTCAGACTGTTCGTCAACAGCCTCCACATCCACAACACGTGATTGCTCAGGGTAGACCTGTAGCCCAGATACATCATCCTCAGACTCAGGGTATTCCGGGTAACACAGGTCAACAAACTGTGCACCAGTTGTCACACCCTCAATTGGCCACAGCCCAACATCATCATCCTGGGACTGCTGTTCATCCAAGTCCAGTATCTTCAGGTCATTTCATACAAGCTCAACAACAAAAAGTAGTAAATCATCCACAGGCTACATCAACACATGTACCTCAGCATGTTGCTTTGACACATCCACCTCAACAGTTGTCTGCATCACACCCATCCCAGCATGCAGCTGCAGCTCTTCAAACTCAACGTGTGCCTGCAGCTCATCCACCTCAGCATGTTGTATCGGCACAACATCCACCTGCTTATGTAGCTCCGACTCATCATATCCAGGCCAGTGTACAATCTGGACATCTGCCTACTACAGTTGATCATTCAGAAAACAGGTAAGTACATTTAAGAAACGGATACCTTAACCAAACATTTAGCTTTATGATTAGGCATCTGAATGAAGAATCTGGCTTGTTTAGAGAGTTCAGATATATATGTGGTTTGAACAACAGAAATACATGTTGATTGAAGTTTGGAAGTTGAAGAAAATGATTTTTTTTTTCAGTGTTGGTAGTGAAGATAGAGCTCCCACACCTGTAAAAGATGAACCTCATCCTGGAGTATGTATATGTTGCTGTTTTCTTTTCTCTTAATACTAAATCAGTCTGACAAGATGGCTGAATGTTGAAATTTATATTATCACATTTAGCGGACATATCACATGTATATTTGAATTCATTTTTTTAAGTTTGTAATGTTCGTCTTTATTTCATACTGAATGAGTCTGTTAAATATTCTTAATACATGAGTATGTTTGTCTGTTTTCAGTCAACATTAGTTGGTCAAGTACCAGAGAATGTACAACAAGTACAAGCATTAGGTGGTGTGAGGTAGGTGGTAGTAAAAATTTTTGTGGTGTCTGTTAATTTTTAACTTTTAGTTGTGATCGATGAGAAATTTGAAAAATCGATTGTAGGCGAAGATATCCTTGCCCTTCCTTGGTTGTTCATGCACAAGAGTTGATGTGCAGTAATCCCCTATACCAATTTTTTACACAATGGCGCTGGTTCAGATCTAGACTTGCACCTCAGATCTGTAATTTTCTCACATCTCACATGTTCAAATTTTTTCTTGTCCAGTGTGTACGTGTAAGACATATGAAAGCCTTATGTAATCAAATTAAATGCTGTGATGATGTCTTGAAAATCAAAACTTCATATGTGTTAAAAGATTATGTATGTTGTATTCTAGGACAGCAGATTGGAAAGGAGGTAACACTGTACCCCCTGTAATATATTCAGGTGGCGTTCCTCTGGGTAGTGGTATTTCTCATCCTATATTATCTGTCCCCCCTCCGGGCTTCCCTGGTATGTCTGCTTTACTCTTAATCTAATTAGAAGTAGATTACAATATTGTTTCACTATTATATTCAACGGTCTCTATTGTAAACCTCATTTCCTGTTAACTAATCACAGCTCCCCATGCAGAAATCGTGTCTAAATATTGACTATGAATTGTGGGATAGCGAAAAAAACTCAAAGTAGAGCGATAAGACTTATGAAATTATGAGACTGAGGAAACTTGCTTGTAAAATTCATTCTGATTGGCATGAGAGTGGCGCGTGATAGTCTGCTGTAAATATCTTGAAACGTCATTAGATTACAATAGAGACTGACAACAAAATTATAATGAAATGAAATTGTTATCTAATTGTAATTAGATGCTGTACTCTCTGACTAGAAATTTAAACATTGATTTTGACATCTCATTGGTTAATTTCCATCCTATATTATAATTTACTGGTTGCAATTCAAGTCCAGTCTTTCAAGCTATCACGAATAAGTATGAAGTTCTTAATAGCTTAACATTGTTGAGATGGATGTTCAGTTTAATGGTAAATAATCTACCTTTTATATTCATATAATTTGATTTACTTCTTGCTATCAAAAATTTCTAGTGTTCATTAGCTTCTGATTTATTGATATTTTTCAAGGCATTATAGTAATGCATGGTTATCTGTAAAAGTGAACATTTAACCAAATTCTTTGAAGAAAATGGTCATCCTTTATCCAAAAGTTTGGATTAAAGATTAGAGATTAGTTAATTTGGATGGCATAAAGAAAGTGCATGTAGTTGCCTAATAAATTGATATGATTCCTTTGTACAAATGTCAATGAAATATTACAGTTTTATAGTCATAAGCATGTGAACTAAGCATATTGGCAAGAATGATAAAATTTTAAGATATATGTTATATATTTTAAGTTTTATAACCTTGCTTTGTTATGAGTTAATTCTTCAATTGAAATTTGTGTATTTCTCTAAATACTTAGATTGGTGTTATGTTATTTGGCTGGGAAATATCACTATGGCTATGGGAACAATATGTCATTTAGGTTCATTTGTGGCAACACCATCATTTGGTTATGGCTTTTGATATCATACTCGATGAACAAAAATTATTTTACCTTTAAACATTTAAGCACTGATAGTGCACTCTGCTGCAATGCTTTTCACCTCCAGAGAGACAAAATTATATCTTTCAATATTGAACATTGATAATATCTCATACAATTAGTTCACTATCAATATATTTTCACCATCAATCATAATATGCTGTATCTATGTCTGGCTGACTTGTGATCAGTGAAGACACTCTTGTTCTTTTGACACCTAACAGAAACTGTAATGTAGTATTTTTACTATTTTTAATGAAATGATTATTTACAGTTCCAGTAGTAGGTGCTCCTAATCCTGCCTTTCCTGCACCCTTTGGTTCCACTGGTACTTTTCAACCTTGTGTGGTACCATTATCTCAAGAGGAATTCTATCGTGAACAGAAGAGAATAAAAGATGCTCTCAAGAACAAGTAAGTGTCAAAGTTATTCCCCTGGAGAATTAAAGAGATTTATTTTTTGTTTCTGTCGTGTATTTTTAAAGTTTAAATTGATGTAGTTGGTAAAGTTAGTATTATTTTCTATAACTATTTATCATGCTGAAATCTCAGAGACAGTATTGGTATCCTCCAAGTTTTGTAAAAAATATCAACATACCGTAAGCATGTAAATAAATAAACAAAGAACAAAGTATTGGGTGCTAACGAAAGGATATAAATCTTTTTTTCACAGAGATAAGAAGAACTATGACGTTATGGATCATTTCACTAAAGATATCTTTGAAAAGAAAGCACCAAAACCTAGAAGTAGAACGAGGTAATGTTATTACTTTACAATCAAATCTATCAATGTTTAAAATTTTTTTTATGTATATCTTAATGGTATATCCTACCAAGGTGACCATCATGTGGTCTACTTTTTTTATTGCCTAATATCTTGAATTGATGTTAATGTCTTTTTTAATTAGATGATATTTGAATTGAAATCTTGGTTATGGAAATTTCAATTCTTTTATTCAGGTCCAAGTCTCCACGTAGATCTCTGACACCAAGAAGAAGTCGATCACCAAGATACTCACCTAGAAGATCTCGTACACCTCGTTTGAGAAGCCGTTCACCATACCGATCTCGATCACGTACACCACCAAGATATAGAACACGATCCAGATCGAGATCACGATCTAGATACAGGTCTAGGTCACGTTATCGATCAAGATCAAGATCTTATGGTCGTTATCGATCCTTCTCTAGATCTCCTGGTAGAGGTTATAGAAAATATTCTCGATCTAGGTCTAGAACTCCTGTTAGAAGATACTCCCCATATAGAAGGTCTCCAGGAGGTCGTCGACGCAGATCCTTGACTCCTCTAAGTCCAGGTTATAGAGGTAGAGGACGTCACTATTCACCAGGACCTGGTGGTCGATATCACAGTCCAGATAGATTTACTCCACCACCTCCATCACGTTATCCACCAGAATTTGGTTATGATGAGGGTCCTCATCCACCTGATGACTTCTACAGGTTAGTATCTGCTTATAAACTTAATGTGCTGGAGCTTTTATCTAGACTTCTATACTGACTTATTGATAATTTTGTTGAAAATAATTATTGGAAATATTCAACTGAACTGTTGTAAATGATAAAATGATTTACTACTTGCTGTGGATGTATGATTATGACTTTGATCTCATATCTCAAAGTCTTAAAAGTTTTCATATACATGTATTATATATATGGTGTATTATAATTTCAGGTTTAATGGTCCTCCTCGGTTAGCTGCTGGTCCACCAGGTCCTCGAGGACCCCATCCTGCTTCTATTGGTCCAAGAGGACCTCATCCCGCTTCTATTGGTCCAAGAGGTCCTCCATCATATGGTAATCCAAGATTCATGCCGCCCGGTGTCATTCCACCTTTAATACCACCACCACCACCTGGTTATGGTCCAAATCCGGGAGGTCCACCAATGGTACCAACATTATCCCGCTCTCCTGTAAGAGGTTCACGATATAGAGATAACAGTCCACCTGGTCCAAGAGGACGCCCAAGCCACCCGCG